CGACACACTAAACCACCAAATTACGACACACTAAACCACCAAATTACGACACATTAAACCATCAAATTACGACACACTAAATCATCAAAACACGACACACTTCTCATCCAAGTTACGACACACTAAACCACCAATTTACGACACACTACATCACTTCATCTCAAGCCGCTAAAGCCTGTCTCTAAATTTCACCGAGCCGTTTGCCGGCATCGACCGGCAACTTGCCGGCATCGACCGGCAACTTGCCCTAGCGCCATATTTAGCAACCCGCCTCTCCCCTGAACGACACAAGACCGTCTTAGCCTTCTCTCGGCTTTCATTTTAAAATTAGATCAGCCTCGTGACGTAGTAACCAGGGGACGTAATCGTGTTACATCGAACCGGGAGGAGTTACGTATGTGTTTAGAGAAGCGTTGCTTTGTAGGGTGCTTCTGATGGGGTGAGATTGTTGGGGTTTTTTTTTTCATTTTTTGGTGACGATACAGGTTTAATAAAAATCATGAGAGGAGGAAGATTATGCTTTTTTCAGCCCCCCCCCCCCCCGCTCTATGGGGTCGTCCATAAATGAAGTCACACTGGTAGGGGAGGGGCGTCCGTAATTTTGTGACGGTGTGTTATGAGGGGGGGGGGGGGTTCAGATAGTGCGACGTTACACTTCTGAATTATAAAAAAGTAGTTAGAAAACTAATTTTAGACGTTATTTCGCGTTTTAGAAAACTGTTTTAATAAATTGTAATAGGAATTGATTTAAATACTCTATGTCGACAGAGTTCTAACAAGATTTTGGAAAAATAACGATGTTTTATGAAAAATTCAACTGCTATTTTGAGGGGGGGGGGGTTGTAGGCGGAGTTGTGACGTCATTTTGGGAGTTGGTCTGGATTTTTGTGACGCTCTGTGACGGAGGGGAGGTGGGGGGAATGTAAAAATCGTTCCAAAAAAGCGTGACGTCATTTATGGATGACCCCTATCCTGTTTGTGTTAACGTTAATGATTGGTGTGTGTGTGTGTGTGCTAATCACTTGCATGTGTGTGATAATGATTTGTGTGTTGCTTGTGGTAACATGATATATTGTACACCTGTCTTGTCACCTGTGACATGTGTCTTATAAGAGGTGACACAGGTCGGTTGTGTGACAGTGATTGTGACAGCAGGTGTAACATTATGACCTTTGAAGTGACAGTAGTTGTGTTAATATGACAAGGAATGCTTGACATCAGGGTGAGGTGTGGTTGAATGGTAGCGCGCTAGACTGCTAACCTGAAAGTCTCGAGTTCGAAACCCGGGTGGGAACTTTTTGGAGTCTACCCAGCTCTAATTGGTGCCTGACACATTAGGACAACAAAGACGACTTCTCCTAGTAATGTGACAGTGTGACGCTAGGCGTGACAGGTGTGACAATCTGCCTTTCTCGTATTTCATATAAGATGTACACATATAATTCATTAGTATATAGAAAAGGCTGAACAAAGTATTAGGAATATTCCAAAGAAATCAAAGGGAAGTAACTGCTGGTTAAGGCAATAAGGGGGACAATCAGTTGCCTTTTGTTACGGTACATATTTGTATGGAGTGGCTATTTCTGTGTGGCTACATAGCTTCAAGTTGGCTATTTCTGTTGTGGTATTATTGTTACAAACTGGCGTATTTGCTTCACATTGGCTTTTTAGACTGGCTATTTAGACTGGCTATTTCTGTTGTGGTATCTTTGCTTCACATAGGCTATTTAGACTGGCTATTTAGACTGGCTATTTCTGTTGTGGTATCTTTGCTTCACATAGGCTATTTCCAGCTCAATTCCCGGAAAACTTTCACCCCATATTGTTTAGCCGGAGACAGAAACGATTCTGTTGATCTATAAATAGACATCCGGGGTCGGTAACGATGAGGGTGGGAGTCATGTTTTGGGTAGGGTTGGGTAGAGGGTGGATGTTGTATTTAGGGTTGGTGTGGGTATATATGGGGGTCGTGTTTTGGCTAAGGGGTGGGTAGAGGGTGGGGGGCGGGTTTTGGTAGGGATGGGTATATATGAGGGTGGGGGTTGTGTTTTTGGGTAAGGATGGGTAGAGGTGGGGGGCCGGGTTTGGGTAGGGGTGGATAGGTTTGGGTATATATCAGGGTGGGGTTGTGTTTTGGGCAGGGGTGGGTATAGGGTAGTGGCCGGGTTTATGTAGGGGGGTATACATAAGGGTGTGGGTCGTGTGTTGGACAGGGGTGGGGTGGGTATTATTGTAAATGGAAGCGTAAGTTCCACGTGCGTGACATGAAGATGTTGGGCGATGGTTTGGGGGCGTGTGACCAAGTTCGCTGATGAAGACGTGTGGGCGAAACAAATTAGACGTGACGTTGTCCGGGCGGTGGGGTGGGGAGGGGGGGGCTAGATGACAAGACTAGAATAGTCGTAGCAGAGCAGAGGTGTACATTTTAGGGACCACGACAACTAAAATCACACCGTCCATATTGGAACCCACCGCCAACATTTAGAGCCCAATAACACCAATACTGAAATAATGATGGTGTCCCTTTTGTTTAGTTCGAAAAAAGTGACGTTATATCTCTACATTGCTGAGTGCTTGATTATATATATATACAACGGACACTAAGACTTACCTGTAACTTTTAGATCAACAAAACACGGCCCTGCCACAATGACTTACTTGTAATTTACCTGTAACTTTACTTGTAAATTTACCTGTAATTTCTAGAACAACAAAACACGCCCAGACCTCAAGACTTAACTATAACTCTGTAAATTTACCTGTAAGTTCTAGAACAAGACTTACCTGTAAATATACCTGTAAATTTACCTGTAAATTTACCGGTAACTTTTAGAACAAAACACAGATGACTTACCTGTAATTTTACCTGTAACTTTACTTGTAAATTTACCTGTAATTTCTAGAACAACAAAACGCGCCCAACCCCAAGACTTAAGTATAACTTTACCTGTAAATTTACCTGTAAGTTCTAGAACAAGGTCCTGCCCCCAAGATTTACCTGGAACTTTACTTGTAATTTTACCTGTAGCATCTAGAACATGCCTCTAGAGTTGCCTTACCTTGCAGGTCAGACTCGAGGTAAGTCTGCGATATTCACCCATCCTTTTCCTCGGCTTAGCTGGATTAGAGGAAAGATTCGTTAATCTCTTAACGCTTGCTGGTAATCGTAAAGGTTTTTCATTTCTTATAAGTTGCTGGACGTCATTTTATTCATGTTGGGAGACTTCCTGTTTATAATGTTGACGTGACGTACTCGTTTTAATAACGTTGTTAGACTATATTGTTAGACTATATTGAATAATGTTTATATACATTTCTTGCATAAAGTTCTATTTTGAGGTCATTCTTACGCTAGGCGGAGATTGTTTTAACTGTCTCCCCACCCCCCCCCCCACTCTCCACAGTTTTAATACAATGAGAATAATATAAATATATAGATATGTATATGTTTATATATATATATATATAAATATATAAATATATAAATATATAAATATATAAATATATATACATATATATATATATATATATATATATATATATATATATATATATATATATATATATATATATATATATATATATGTATATTATATACACTTATCAAACATTACTACCAAACCAGCAATTATAGAAACATACATTTTTAGTTTCGTCATGTAAGCAGTAAATGTTAAATCCTGCTAGCTCTACTTACCTTAACCCTTGCCACCCCCCCCCAACCCCCATTTAATTTCCAACCTGAAATTTCGAAGGTAAAATAAATGGCATCAGTCTGGGGTCGGTGGCAGGAAGCGGTGAGTCATGATTCACGTGTGAATGGAAGAGTTCTCTGCTCCTGCTTGAGCTTTGGTGTTTTAATGATGTTGGTGTTGTCTTTGAAAATATTAGCGAACATGCTGTTTTGATGGATCCATTAAGAGAAATATTTCTCGGAGAATGGGGTGGGAGGAAGGTGTGAGTGGAGGGTGTGTAGAAGGTTACAGGTTGCTGGTCGTTAGTGGGTTAAGGTAGGAGCTGGTTCGTGAAGGGTTAAAGGAAGGTTTCGTAATCGTTTTGTTGGGATTGTGGTTATTGTCTACATGTTAGAGAGACAGAGAGAGACATATAGAGATAGAGAGACAGAGAGAGGTATGTAGAGATAGAGAGATATACAGAGATAAAGAGAGACATATAGAGATAAAAATACAGAGATAGAGAGAGGTATAGAGATATAGAGAGACAAAGAGAGACATATAGATAGATTCAGAGAGATAGAGATAGAGAGATAAAGAGATACAGATATAGAGATACAGAAAGACAAAGAGACCAAGATATAGAGATATAGAGAGACAAAGACACAGAGATAAAGAGAGAGAGAGATATATATAGTTATAGAGATACATATATAAAGAGAGACAGAGATATATAGAGACACAGAGACAGATAAAGAGAGACATTGATATAGAGATAGAGATACATATATAAAGAGAGACATCGAGATACAAATAGACAAAGAGACCAATATATAGAGATACAGGGAGACGAAAACACAGATAAAGAGAGACGGATATACAGCTCTTAAAGATGTTTTGAGAAAACTAACGGCAGAGTTCTAGAATTTTCTTCAGAGAGGTGTTCATAGAGGGAGTTTTTGTATATGGAAGAGAGGCAACAATGCAAGGATTTTTAAGATCGCAACAGGAAAGAGAAAATGACTCTGATTTCTATGATATACGGAAGATAGGATACTGGGATTTCCGAATATACGGAATATTGGGTCGTGGGGTTTTAGGATATACAGATGATCATCTCTAAGCGTACAGTAGCTCACGGGGCATGGCAAGTGATCGCCATTTCAATCAAACCTCTAGCTCTGTTGGAATGTTAGGTCTCTGTACTTCAACACTTTCTCCATTGATCTTCTCCATCTTTCTTCTGGTCGCGTTTTTTCCCCCTTGTCCTGTGGTGTCCATCTGACAGTTTCCCCTAGCCCTGTGATGTCCGTCTGACAGTTTTCTCTAGCCCTGTGGTGTCCATCTGACATTTTTCTCTAGCCCTGTCATGTCCATCAGACAGCAGTCCTTGCCAAAGTAACTGCTCTCATCCCTAGCACATGGCCCAACCATCTCCATCTTCTGGGTCTGATAACTGCCGTTAATGGTTGAACGAGTGTTCTTCTTTTTAAACTCCTTGTTTGGAATGAGGCTTTGGCCTGAGGATTCTCAATATTTGTTGTAACATTTGCTCCGAGAAGCTTCTAGTTGCATCCCAATCCCATTTGTGTTTTTCCAACATTCCAAGTCAAACAAGAGAACACTAAGCACATAGCATTAAAATATGCGTAGTTTGGTAGTAAAGCTAATCTTTCCTGAGTTTCGTATGTTCTTTAGCATCCATTGGGATTGGTTGGCTCTCCCTAGTCTATTTTTATCTCTTTAAAGCAATCAGTGTCATATACAGAAAATTGGATACTGGGATTTTAGGATACACATCAGATTACTGGGATTTTAGGATATACAGAAGATTTGGAGTTTACATGGATTTTAGGATATACAGAAGATTTGGAGTTTACATGGATTTTAGGATATACAGAAGATACGGTACTGGGATTTTAGAATATACAGAATATAGGATACTGAGATTTTAGGATATACAACAGATTTGGAGTGTATTGGGATTTTAGGGTATACAGAAGATAAGGTACTGAGATTTTTAGGATATACAGAAGATAGGATACTGGGATATACAGAAGATAGGATACTGGGATATTTAAAAGATAGGACACTGGGATTTACAGAAGATAGGCATCGATTCACACTCTCTTGAAATATCCAATCAAGAACGGAAAAGCTTTTGTATCCTAGTTGTCCCCCTTGCTGAGTCCTCGCCCTTGATCTGATAGAAAGCAAGGCGCCCCGTGGCCCCCAAACGTCTGCGATCACTCCACACCACCCCAGCTCCCAGGGCTCCAGGAGCTTCCGCGCATGCGCCCAAAGAACGCTAAGTGGAGATAGCAGCGAGATGGAGGCTCCCATGAGCAAACTGTGTGTTTTCCATTCTATTTCTATCGCGGGAATTTTTTTTATCAATCAGAGGAGCAGATGTTATCACATCCGGGGACCGTCTTATCCGACAAGGGCGGTAATCAGATTTTAACATATCTATTTATAGAAATTCGGCCGTACTTCTCAAAGGATATAAGATGACGCTAACTACGATATGCATTAGCTGGTTAAGGTTAGGGTGCATTAAACCGTCCATTACGCCATTATTTTCCAATCCTGTTGAGGCTATGATGGTTTATATGTTTAAAGAAAAGGGGCTTGTTTTCTAGTGGTCACCTTTTTTTTCTATTTCCGCAACAATGAAAGAAAAATTGCTATATAAGACTAGTTTTGTTTTAAGCTTGTGGGTCACTTTGTGTAATTAAATGATGATTCAAGGGATTTTTTTTCATAGGCGTGGTGAGTTGAGGGGGTTTGGGCTTTTAAGTAGAGCTGAAATAAATTTAGGATTAAAGAAAAATAAGATTTTAAAAATTCTAAGGAACCGGAATGGTATGCTGATTACAATGAGACACACCAAATCAAACCTATGTTCTATATCTATAGCAGTCCTCCCACAATTTTTATTTTATTTTAATTTATTTCAAACATTTAAAATAGTAATAATAATTTATTTGGTAGTTTTACACAACTTCAAAGACTTGGAAAGTCAAAAGTATATATAGTTATTAAATGGAGAGAGTAAAATGGCATAAGAACTAGACTAAAATAGGGTGTGCAACTCGGTTTCTTTTGACTGCTTAGTTTACTGTGCTCCATCCTCAGTTGCGAAGTCAAAAGTTCACATTGTAGCCACTCATGGACAGAAACAAAAAAAAAACGACTGTAGGAAAAGGGTCTCTGTAATACTCATACTGATCTATTGTACGTTTCTCTTACTAAGTGTATAATAAAATAATTTTGAAGACAAAACAAAAAATGTGGGTCAGTTTGTGTGAATTTTTGAGTGGGTTTGGGAATATGTTTGTGGTAGTTTTGGGTTTGGGTTGTGATCAGGTTTTATATCTCAGCTTTGACCCATATCTTCTTCTTCTTCGTTCTTAATATTTTTTAGTGTTGAAGGGATCGAGCCTTATCTGCCAGTGGGTTTGAACTAGAGACTTTCTCGAATTTATCAACCATGAGCTTTTGCCTACGCGACCACGCCTCCATCACAATTAAAGATACGTGTCAACTGGTTATGCCATTGACCCCTAATTTCAGCCTGCTTTTCTTTTTGGATTTGCTTCCATAGCCTTTGTCCAACCAAGAAAAAACTAGATATCTACAAGGTAGCAGTTGTTTGATTTTGGAGTTGTCACTCCTAGAAGGAGTGGCTGTCCCCAGTTAACGAGCCTCATCTGCCTTAAGGTTCGAACTCGTACCTTTTTCGTTTTAACAACCATGAGCTTTACCAACTCGACCACGCCGACCCATATGTTTGGGTAGATTTCTTTGAAATATAATATATAATTCCATGTCAAAGCAATGATGTTAAATGTTAACATATTACATATAAATTAGGGATGTCCCATTCAGCGATGAAAAAATGCATTAAAATACGGAAATAAAACAAAACAAAAGTTTAATTTCTTAGAATTTCTAGCAAATAGAGTTGGTTGATACAATTTGTAAAATAAATGTCTAGCACCTAGGTTTGTAATATTAGCACCAAGGTTTGTAATATTAGCACCTAGGTTTGTAATATTGGCACCTAGGTTTGTAATTTTAGCACCTAGGTTTGTAATATTAGCACCTAGGTTTGTAATATTAGCACTTAGATTTGTCATATTAGCACCTAGGTTTGTAATATTAGCACCTAGATTTGTAATATTAGCACCAAGGTTTGTAATATTAGCACCTAGGTTTGTAATATTAGCACCTAGATTTGTAATATTAGCACCAAGGTTTGTAATATTAGCACCTAAATATTAGCACCTAGGTTTGTAATATTAGCACCTAGATTTGTAATATTAGCACCAAGGTTTGTAATATTAGCACCTAAATATTAGCACCTAGGTAATGTCAGTACCTAGGATTGTAAGACAAAAAAGCGTGTAATCTTCTGTTAACATCGATTCTAAGAGAATCGGCGTTATTTGATGGATTATTAGACAGGAAATGTCATAATCGAATACTTTAACATGGGGCACCTTTTGACAAAAAGAAAGTACATGAAAATATTTAGTCTTAGTGATGTAATTTTTTAAAATTGTAATTACTGAATTACCGTAGTACTCCAAATAAATACTGAAACAACTGCCTGATCATAACTCTCATACACTACCCCGTTCTTTGTGACTCCAGCTCTGCCGACTCTGACTCCATTTTTATCGACCACCCAGGCCCCCATCGATGGGTCATTAGATGACAGATGAATCTCACGCCAAAACTAATCTCATGTTCAATGATGACGCGAGTGACGCCCCGTCAAAGTTTTTTTTTTTTTACATTATCGAAACCGTGTACTGGGTGGTTGGGAAAGGGAAGTAATCGATAACTCCGACTTTGTATCTTGATGGATTGTGCCCATCACGTGACCGCCACGTCTCTTTCTGACCGGGTTGAAAGGTCAGGGGGTCGGGAGAAATTGCAGGTTATCAATCAGCCTACGGGAGTGCCCGGGTACCGGGCTGAGCGAAGCCCTCTAATGGAATTCCTATAGTTGGTGCCGGGTTGGGGTTCGGGGTTCGGGGTTTGGGTCTGGCCTCGGGGTGATCCGGTCTGTTGGCTGCCGAAGACGTTCGGTCGAAACAGTTTCGATGTAGATCACGTTAAGACGAATGTACTTGACCTTGAGTTTACTTGACCTTGAGTTTACTTGACCGTGAAACTAGCCCGCTCTTCGGAGAGACGAAACTAATTGACCTCGATTCGAATATATTCGTCTTTTTTCTGACCTCAATGCGAATATATTCATCCTTGTTACGAATCTTTTTGACCTCGATACGAATGTATTCGTCATTGTTACGAATCTTTTTGACCTCGATACGAATGTATTCGTCCTTGTTACGAATCTTTTTGACCTCGATACGAATGTATTCGTCCTTGTTACGAGTCTTTTTGACCTCGATACGATTGTATTCGTCCTTGTTACGAATCTTTTTGACCTCGATACGATTGTATTCGTCCTTGTTACGAATCTTTTTGACCTCGATACGAATGTATTCGTCATTGTTACGAGTCTTTTTGACCTCGATACGATTGTATTCGTCCTTGTTACGAATCTCTTTGACCTCGATACGAATGTATTCGTCCTTGTTACGAATATTTTTTACCTCAATACTAATGTATTCGTCCTTGTTACGAATCTTTTTTACCTCAATACGAATGTATTCGTCATTGTTACGAGTCTTTTTGACCTCGATACGATTGTATTCGTCCTTGTTACGAATCTCTTTGACCTCGATACGAATGTATTCGTCCTTGTTACGAATATTTTTTACCTCAATACTAATGTATTCGTCCTTGTTACGAATCTTTTTTACCTCAATACGAATGTATTCGTCCTTGTTACGAATCTTTTTTACCTCAATACGAATGTATTCGTCCTTGTTTTGAATTATGTTGACCTTGACGCGAATAGGCTCGTCCAGCGCGCGAAATGGTTCGTCCTGATAACGAGGAAGCCTCTCTTTGTTACGAACCTTCGAGGACCCAAAACATTTTAATACAATTTACAAGTGTAATTTTCAAAAAAAAAAAAAATCAAACTCTAGTACACACTTTCTGATGACGTCAACCGCATCTTTAACTCCACCCCCACTCTACGCCACCTACTCAGCCACTAACGAACCGGAATCATTATGGTGACTGCGCATGACCGGACGGTGGCTGAAGAATGCTACAGGAAGTTCTATTTGTCTACAGAATTTAAGGTCAATTTCCCCCCCCCCCTCCACCCTCTCGCATCTTAACTTTACTCACCTCCAGAAAATGTGCGCAGTAATTGAGTGCTTAGTGTGTGCGTACAAACTAATTTCTGGCACGTGTGGTCTTCTCTTGATTCTCGTGTTCCGGCCCTACCCAAATAGCCTGTTTTAACTATTGAGACAGCCTAGACCAACAGTAAAACAGCCTAGACTTAGACCAACAGTAAAACAGCCTAGACCAACAGTAAAACAGCCTAGACCAACAGTAAAACAGCCTAGACCAACAGTAAAACAGCCTAGACCAACAGTAAAACAGCCTAGACCAACAGTAAAACAGCCTAGACCAACAGTAAAACAGCTTAGACCAACAGTAAAACAGCCTTTAAAATTGTAACCAAACAGCTAGCATAATCATAAGCTCTGTTTGGCAGAGCTCTTTGGCTGTTTAGTAAAACCGGCTATATAGCTAAGCTGTTAGGTTGTTTCGTAAAGTGGTTTGGCTGTTTGTAAAGCTGTTTGGCTATTTAGCAAACTACTTGGCTGTTGGTTGATTAGTGAAACAATTTGGCTGCTTAGTAAAGATTATTAGTAAAGTTGTTTGGCTGTTTAGTAAAGCTGTTTGGTTGTTTAGTAAAGCTGTTTGACTATTTAGTAAAGATGTTTGACTGTTTAGAAAAGCTGTTAGGCTGTTTAGTAAAGCTGTTTGACTGTTTGGTAAAGCTGTTTAGTAAAGCTGTTTGGCTGTATCGTGACAATGTTTCTAGGGGCTATCACATTATCTGTTGTGACTCTTTCTGTCTCTGTTATCTCTCTCTCTGTATCAGATCTTTCTTATTGTTTTTGCTTCTCTCTCTCGATCTGAATGTCTTTGGTATATCTGTATGTCTCTCTTTGATGGCTCTTTCTGATTCTCTCTTTGATGGCTCTTTCTGATTCTCTCTTTGATGGCTCTTTCTGATTCTCTCTTTGATGGCTCTTTCTGATTCTCTCTTTGATGGCTCTTTCTGATTCTCCCTTGATGGCTCTTTCTGATTCTCTCTTTGATGGCTCATTCTCTCTTGATGGCTCATTCTGAGCCTGACCTGGCTCTGTATGACCCTAACACTATTCCTCCTGGCTCCTTGCGAGCCTAGCATTGTTCTACCGGCTCCTACAGATCTATGAAAACCGGCCCGGAAGACCGTCAGACACGTTGATCAAATGAATGGACCCCCGACGCCGGCCTAAAGAAAAGCGGCCCCTGTCGTCGGACTCTAATATCGAGCCTGGGTAAGCGAGAGAAGTTGATTATCTTCCCTTGGCTGGTCGTGAATGATGCGACAGCCCTACAGTTCGGCCAGTCAGGGGAAGGCAATCTGCGCCGGCCAGGATCTAACACACCGAGGAGGAATTATGGCCCCTTTTCCCGTTTATTAAGTCAAAAGATATTAGTTATTCGGTTCAAACGGTTGATTAATTAATCAGTTAATTGATTAATTGTGTGTTTTTTTTTGTTCCAATTGACGTTTGTGAGAGCTGTACGGTAGAAACCTGGAACGTAAAGGACAAAAATATTTTTAGTGTTTCTGTGACGTTCGCTTAGAATTCTGCAATGGATAAAACAAGGAGGGCATGCTAGTTGTTTTTGAGTAAAGATCGATAAAGCAAATCAAAACACTAATTGTTCTATGAATTTTTTTCGTGATTTTTTTTCCGTGACTTTTTAAGCACTGCTCGCCCCTGGGCTAGTCGTGGCACTGACGTCACGATTTCAGTTTACCCCGCGCTACGAGAAGTAGAGGAACTCTACTGCACCTGCAGGAGAATTTCTGGCCCAGCTTGCCATTACTAAACTGGAATTAAGAGTTCTGTTCCCTGTCAGTGTTTCTTCCAGACTTTTCTCTCCCGAGGGGGGGGGGGGGGTCGATACTTTATATTTTTCTTTGGGGGGATGACTCAATTTTTCGGAGAGGGGGGGGGGGGGGGCGGACACTGCTAAAAGTATATGTTTTCTATATAAGTTCGACTCCGTTCGGGGGGGGGGGTAGACTTTCTTCGCCCCCCCCCCCCCCCCCCCGAAGAGATGCCTGGAAGAAACTCCGTTCCCTGCTTAAACCTGTAGGACGCTGATTCCCCACCCCCTTTACCCCCCACCCCCGCCCCTCACATACACACACGTCTGAAGCCGGAGAGCGTCACAACGAATGGATACTGTACTCACCATCAGTCGGGTGTCTGGTTTAAAAAAAAACAACAACAACACAAACATAGACTTGAGGTGATGTCATTGGTAATCCCTCCTCCCCAACCCCAGCACATGACCACTCCCCTACCCCCAACTACCCCCCCCCCCCCCCCCCCGTCGTACACCATCCGGATCCAGGCTCGCTGTGGCATAAACGCCGTGTTGTCGTTGTTTACTTTTTATCAAACACAACAATGCGGTGTGGGGGGGGGGGAGTTAGGGGAGTGATTGGACAAATGGACAACCTTCAACGTTGCCAGCTATAATGATTGGTTGGTGATTGGTTAATCTGCCTTTTGTTTGGTTCTTGGTAGCCAGTGCGAAACTGCTAAAACTGGACGGAGTTTTTTCCCTTTGTTAAACAATAATGGGCTCACTGGGTTGTATGCTACACACACACACGGTCATTAATGTAGCTAGAAGGCTATACATGTTGTTAGTGCTACACATACAAGGCCATACATGTAGCTAGTGCTACACATAGGAGGCCATAAATGTAGCCAGTCCTACACCTACCTGCCCATACATGTAGCCAGTCCTACACCTACCTGCCCATACATGTAGCCAGTGCTACACCTACCTAGCCATACATATATCTAGTACTACACCTTACACAGATGAACCCCATTAAACTAATAATAAGAGTTGAAATACACTAACAAACAGATCATTAACTGAATTGACTGATCAATGAATTACCTATTGCAATCTTCGGATTACCCAAATTACCAGTAAATCACATCATATTTGAACTACTTTGTAAAATCACTAGTAAAACGCTTACACATGTCGGTTAATTTGTTGTGAGTCACGTTTCAAGTCATTCTGCGTGACTTTTTCTGTCGACCTAACAATAGCAAATAAAGCAATATAAAAAACAGCAGTGCATTGTACATATATTTAATCAATTGAAAACACAAAAATTCCAAAGATTTCGTATAATTTAGCTTCAACAATTTATCAGAATTGGATATATAATTTTCAGTGCGTTTTTTCAGTGTTTAGTTGGGTTTTTTCTTCGAAATTAGCCAGAAAAAAAAATTAACTTGAGCGTTCATTACCAGATCAATGTTTGCAGGAGTTCCCTGGGAAGGGAACACGGGTGGAACTTTCTGAAGGCTCCGTCTGTACGCTGTGTGGTATCCGCTTTTGTTTGTGTACGACGTACTAGTCACACGAGATTTGTTTATGTCTCGCGAGATTTGCTGTAGACTTACGAGATTTGATAAGTCACACGAGATCTGTGCTAGTCACACGAGATTTGGTATAGTCACGTGAGGTTCAGAGGCGTAGCGATGGGGGGGGGGGGCAGGGGGGTACATATGTCCCCGGGCGCCGACCTTGGGGGGGGGGCGCCAAAATGGGTTGTAAAAACAAATTAAAATGTCATTTTAGCTGCATTTTTGCAGTTTCAGAGGGGGGGTGCAAATCGAAAGTTTGAGGGGGGTGCAAATCGAAAATTTGCTCGCGAAGGGGCGCCAAATTGAAAGTTTGTCCCCGGGCGCCAGGAAGGGTCGCTACGCCTCTGGTGAGGTTTGATCTAGTCACACGAGCTTTGGTCTAATCACATGAGATTTGGTCTAGTCACACGAGATTTGGTCTAGTCACACGAGATTTGTTCTACTCGCAGGTTTGTTTTCGTCTCGCGAGATTTCTCTCTCACGAGATTTGCTCTGATCGCACGAGATTTACCGTCGTCACGACGCCGTCATAGTTCTGTGTGTATACACGACTCCTATCAATCGACCGTCAGCAGTTTGACAACTCCGTGCCTCTGTTCACTACGTCATAAGTCATAATTGCTCCCTGGCTCCTGAGATGATGAGGGTCCCGAAATAGCCCCGGGACCCCCATTACAATTTGTTTTGTTAAACGCTTGGTTATGAAGACAAACAGCTCGAACTTTGGGAATGTCTTCGGCTAAATAATGCCGGCTAAAAATAGAAGTTGGGGTTTAATTTTGTCCAATCAACTAGTTTCTTGCCAAGACGTCATAAACAGATGACGTCAGTAGGAGGTATTGGCCTTGTGGAGACTGTACTGTAAAACGCGTTCTTTGTTGGAGGAAAATGCTTTCAAACGTATAGAGTACTGGGCGCACCTGACAGATTAGAAGCGATTGTAATCATTGTTTTAGCTAGAGGGTGTAGCGTTGGTCCGTTATGGGCATAACGAAGGTCAGTTTGGGAGTAGCAGGGGTCATTTAGGGGAAGAGAAAAGGTCATTCAGGGGAGGAGAAAAGGTCATTCATGGGAGTAGCGAGTAGCAGAGGTCTTTCGGGGGAGTATAAAAGGTCATTTATGGGAATAACAAAAGACAACCAAAATTGACCTCTACAATTCAACCTAAAAAATATAATCTGGCCTTAAAATTAAAATCTAACCCGAAAACACTCAAATTTAACCTAAAAAGAAAAATCTATCCAAAAATATTTCATTTTAAATCTAGCCCAAAGACTAAAATTTAACCTAAAAAGAAAAATCTATCCAAAAATATTTCATTTTAAATTTAGCCCAAAGACTAAAATTTAACCTAAAAAGAAAAATCTATCCAAAAAAAAATAAAAAGACTGCAATTTTACCTAAAAACTAAATCTAATCTAAAAATTAAAACTGCACACTAAAAATTAAAATCTAACCTAAAAACTAACATGTAGCCTAAAAAACTGAGGCGAGAGGGTACGCTAGACTTGTATTTGTTGTTGTAAAA